CGGCTAGTTTGGGGTTCTGAGGTTAAAGCAGCAGAAAGGCTGTTTGGTTGTTTCTCTGATGAACAGAATAAATGTTGTTCTGTGACGTCCTGCAGAGCCTGAACTCACCACCTGGTGTCTCTGGGTGGTCTTGAAGAAGGTCTCTTTGTGGTCGCTGCCCAGAAACCTGCAGACAGAACACAGATGTGAGGACTGAAGCTGCAGCTGGACCGTGAGGACGGAGTCTCAGTGGGCCGACCTCTGCAGCTTGTTGGTCCTGAACTGACAGGTGTAGAAGTCGGCCGGAGGGTTGGGGACGTCCTGGGACAGAGGGTTGGGGAGGGACAGCTTGGACAGGACCACCTCAGACCAGTTCAGGTTTGGAGCCTCCACCACCTGCAGGACGACGAGGATCAGTAATAATGTGACTGAATAAAACATGTGAACCGGTGAGACAGAAGAAGAAGGTCACCAAGTCAGTGAATGTACCACAGACCAGCTGCAGTACCTGGTTGTTCCACCAGGTGGAGCCTCTCACTGTCTAACCCTGTAGAGACCAGAGGAGGCGTCTACAGACTGCAGCTCATGGTGGCAGCAGAGAGCATTGTGGGAGTTTAGCAGCAACGGGACCATGACCGAGACTCTGAGGAGGTTCAGGACCTCCAACCAGCGCTGACAGTCGGGATCTCAGGTTCTACAGCCTAAAATGTTCTGTTCTTGCTAAAAGAAACACTGAAGTGTCTGAGCTTCCTGAACGTGACATTTAAAGGTAGCCAGGTGAGAAATGATTCGACCTTTTTCCAGTGTTCACCTGCAGAGGGACTCTGAGACTGATCTCCTCGGCGTAGTAACAGAGGACGCTCCAGGGGGCGCTGAGGAGGACGAAGCAGATCTTCTTCTTCTCCTGGAGGACGACCTTCTGCAGAGGAAACATCTGTCAGCTTCTGAACAACTAAACGTCTTTACTGCTGGTTCCAGCTGATCCACTGCAGCAGAGCGTTTGTCTTCAGGTGTGAACACTCCTCCCGCTCCGGTGTCATGTGACAGTCAGGTGACTTCAGCTCAGGTGTGTAGGTTTTGCTCACCTGCTCCTGCAGCAGTCCGCAGCGTCGCAGTCGATTCAGAAACTCCTCTCTAAACTTCACGTGGGCGGGGTCAACACCTTTGTGCTCCTCCTTTGGGCTCCGAGGCTCCTCCCACACCAGCACGAAGTCTGGCCAATCAGAACGCAGGATTCACACTTTGTTTTTCCTCATAATCTCTTTGAATGATTTAATCATTAACTTGAGTTTGTCGTTTGCGTGACTCACCGACTCGAGTCGATCTGTCGCTGAACACGTTCATGTCCTGGAGCTGAGCAGGTGCATTCTGGGAAACAACAAACGTTTCAGCTCCACGCAGAGAAAGAACCAAACAGGAGGTTGATCAGGAGTCAGCAGGTCAGACAGTCTGCAGAGGCTTTGTGGGGATTTTGTGTTAGTTTGTTCATTTTGCATCTTTCTCGTCGGCTCCGGATGCTGTTTGGGCCTTTTTCTGTTGGTTTGAACTTGTTTCTGTGTTTCGGGTTTCATCTTTATGATTATTTCTTCCTGTGTGATCAGTTATGTGAGACAATAACTTCACCATCCGTCGCCTCAGTCAGCGACTGGAAGCTTCTCTGTTCCGGTCACTAACGAAGCCGATGACAAACTCAACAAACGTTTTCTGTTCTATCAGTTAAACTGCAGCTGCTTGTCCTGTTTCCTGCATGAAATCAAACAGACACCCAGTTTCTTTGAAAACCAGCTGAAGCTGAAGCTGCTGATCTCTCAGCACGTCAGTGTTTTAACATCTGACGGAGCCGTGATAGCAGCTCCACCATGTCCAGGCTTTATGCTAAGCTAAGATTATCTCTGCCAGGACTCAGATTGTTTTCTTTCTTTCTTTCTTTCTTTCTTATTTATTTTTATTTTTTTTAACCTTTTCTGGTATGTTCTTTAAAAAACATGAAAACATTTTATAATTATTTTTTTCTAAATGTTTTCCAGCTTTTGTTGAGTCTAAATATTTAAATGCAGTTTGTATCCTTCAAGTGTTTGATTCTTTTGAACTATATGCTGGACAATGAAACAATAAATGTTCATTTAACGGTCCTGAATGTCATCATAATATTAATATTATAATATTAATTATATAATATTCTGATGTAGTTTTAGTTTGTCTTTACTCTTTAATAAAATGTTTGGTGTTAATCTTCAGCAGAGGTTCCAGGACGTCGCCCTGAGGAACTCCACCAGCCTCCGTCACTGCTCATCAGGCCTTGATCAGGTCAAACTGTTGTTACCGTGGCAATGCTGCCGTAGCTGTTGTCGGTGCTGCTTTCCATGGCGATGAGCGTAGCGCTGTCATCTTTCTGCTCCCCCCTCCTCCTCATCCTCCAACACCTTTGTCCTGCTGATCCACCGAGACAGAAACTACATATATTAACATGTTAACAAGCTAACATGCTAATATAGTTACATGCTAGCATATTAACATGCTAAAATGTTAACATGTTCACATGCTAATACATTAACAAAAAAACCATGCTAACATATTATCATGCTAGCATGCTAGTGTATTAACATGCTAACATATTATCATGCTAACATATTGGGAATGCTAACATACCAACATGCTAACATACCAACATGCTAACATATTAGCATGCTAACATATTAACATGCTAGCAGCGAGGAAGCTTAACTCATTCCACACAAGCATCAGAAACTCGGGAAGCTTGACAGAGTTTAAAACCGGCCTCGAGCTTTGACTGAAATCAGCACAGAACTGTCACCGTCGACAATCAGTGTCTAGTGTCTAGTGTTTATTCAGTGTCTTGACTGGTTTTATTTATTATTTCCCACCGATGGACTTTAGTTTCTGTTGTTTTATGTATTTATTGTTTCGTGGTTTCATTCAGATGCAGGTTCGCTGTGAGCTAACTCTGATGATTTTACTTCTAACTATAAAGATAAAGATAAAGATAACTTTATTGATCCCACAGTGGGGAAAATTCACAATGCGCTGTCTTTAAAACAAACAAACAAACAAACCTGAGAGTAAAAACATGTTTTAGATGAAAGGAAGTGTGTTTATGTCCTGACACCTCCACGAGAGTCACATTTAACTGAAATACATTTATAATATATTTATCCTGACGCCCACACAGTCACTCATCATTCAACACTTTAAATTGTTATTTTACACATTTTCTTCTTTTGTCAAATTCCAGAAAATTATAAATGACAACAGATCCACAACAGAATTTCCCTTCAGGATAAATAAAGTATTTTTCATTTCATTTCATTTCATTCATCCAGTTGATTAACAGTCCACTGATCAACAAACAGATCAAAACTTTAAAATATATTCACATAAAACCTCCAGACGTTGAGAGAACAACATGCTGTTTGTCTGATCATAGCTAAAGGAGCCCAACAGGTGTAAAGAAAAATAAACCTGCAGTCAAGTATTTGTTCCCTAAACAATGACTTCACAGATAGTCGCAGCACAGAGTCACACAACAGAACCTGATTGATCACTAATACGTTTCCAATCAGCAGCACTCATCATTAATGACTTCGTTTTCAGTTCAATCTCTTTGTAAAGTGGAATAAATAAACAACTTTGACATTAAACTGATCAACAGACAGAACAACTGATCGATCAATTGGACTTTAAAGTCCTTGTCATGCAGGTGGACTCACCTGTGTGTTCAGACAGTGGCCGTCTCAGGTGGATCTTCAGGTGGATCTTCAGGTGAAGCTGCAGACCTGCAGAGCAGCGACTGTCTGTGTGACTCCAGCTGACCGAGTGAAGCTCCGCCCCTTTGTTTAGCCCCGCCTCTCCTCATGAATACAAACAGGCCTCTGACTCTGATCTGAGAAAACCAACGTTCAACTTTCAGCAGCTGCTTTTCTCTGAACACTGAGGAGCTTCAGAGGCGCTGCTGCCACCTGCTGCTCGGTCAGAGAGGAGACAACGGTCAGCTCAGAACACAGACCGCCTCCTTCCATCGGCTCTGCTGGCTTCATCCTCTGCAGGGTATCGGGGGCGGAGCCTATCGCAGCTGACTGAAGGCATGTTCACCTGGACAGGTAACCAGTCTACTAACAGACTTTATTTTCAGATCAGACCTTATTGAGCCACAGGAGGAGACATTACAATCAACCAGAACCTCCTCAGAACATCTGGTTCTGATTCTGCAGCACCTTCATCNGGTTGCAGTGAAACATGAGCCACAGGGATGAAAAGCGTTTGTAGTTAAACTCTTTCAACAGTGTGTTGCGTTGTGTCGTGCTGGACTCACGACGGAGGCGGTTGAGATGATGGTGTTCCTGTAGAGGAGGACGGTGATGATGGTGCGATACATGATGACGCCGATGACGAACATCAGCACCACGGCGACCTGCAGGGACACGAGCTCAGGCTCAGTCTACACGACGTTGACCAGAGAGCTGCTGGTTGTTCGCTGTAACACGACGGACGGATGTGGCATCTCCAGCGACGGTTTGGTTCTGTTATGGTTCTGATTCTGGAAAAACCTTTCAGAACCGCATCAGCTTCTGGAAGTCATAGCTCCTCTTTACTTTTTAACTGCTGAAGGTTTGTCAGATATTCTGGATTCTGGAAAACTACTGAGAGCTGCAACAGCTGATCAATCCATCAATTAACTGTCAACTATAAACTAATTATTGTCTATTTTAATAATAGTTAATTAATTGGAGTCATTTTTTAAATAAAACTAAATGTGATGTGAGTTCAGCTTCTCCAGTCTGAAGGTTTTCTGGTTTCTTTCCTGAAGATGTTTGAACAAAACAAGACATTGGAGGAACATCTGATCCACATTTTTCACCTGAAAACTAATCGAGTCGTGGAAACGTGCAGCTGAAAAACAATCTGACGTCTTTCTACAGAACCTTGTGGTTCACCGTCTGATATTTGCATGTCTTGGTCATGTTCTGCTCTAAAAAGATGAAAGATGAACTCCTCTTCCTCATCAGAAGCTCAGGTTCATCTTCATCTGCATCAGAACCCTCCAACATCAACGTAAACGCTCTGAACAGAACCATTGTCACGCATTTCATCATTTTGGATCATTTTGGTTTGAGGAGCACCAGAGAGCCGATGACTGAATTACAGGATGAGTTTTTTATGAGTAGCTCTTGTCTTTACAACCACGTCTAAAACCTCATCAGAGGCCTGAGACCCACCATGATGATGATCACCATGCAGCCCGTCAGGGTTCTGTTGACCCGCTTCATTTCAGGAAAGTAGGGTTCCTCGGCTCCAGTCACCGGGTTCCTCACCGTCATCGGCGCCATGGCGGTGAACTCTGGACGAGGTCGCTCCTGTCGAGGACGAAGGGTCACTTCATGTGAGATGATTTAAAATCATCACTGAAGTGCTGATTAGAGACGAACTGAACAGAAGAATGGAGCAGCAGCACCGAAGACCTTCAAACGTCACGTTTGTTTTTCTGTTTTTTGTTGTTTTTTTAATGAGCGCCAGAAACTGTAAGACCAACAGAAAGATTTAGAATTTCCTGAAAGTCTTTGAACTGCTCATCTGTGATGTGCTGTTCGTTCTGGAAGACGAACCAAAGCCAAGCTCAGGATTGTGACTCAGCTGTGACCAGGTTCTGTCTCCTCCTTCATGGTTCTGGTTCCACAGGGCTGCAGGACTTTATGTTACAGAGAAACATGAACCTCAGAGAAGGAACAGGAGACAGGTACCTCGATGTCTTCAAAGTCTGAGCAGTCCCAGCGGTGAGACAGAGTCGAGCAGGTTCTCTTCCAGTACTCCAGGAAGGTGACGGCCCACAGAGACATGAAGACGCTGAGGAACACTGTTCCTCCGTTATCGAACAGGAGACCAGCCTGCAGACACACACAGGTTACAGACAGACAGACGGACAGACGGACGGACAGACGGACAGACAGTCAGACAGACAGAGAGACGGACAGACGGACGGACAGACAGACGGACGGACAGATGGACAGACAGACAGACAGACAGACGGACAGACAGACAGACAGACGGACGGACAGACAGACGGACGGACAGATGGACAGACAGACAGACAGACAGACGGACAGACAGACAGACAGACGGACGGACAGACAGACGGACGGACAGATGGACAGACAGACAGACAGACAGACGGACAGACAGAC